AAAACACACTCTTGCGGGCTTTGGTATATGTCATTTTGCTGCAAAACCTGGTGATGGGTGATCTCCAGCTTGGTTGGCACAGGTCGCTCTGGGGGTGGTCTGCATGGCAGTGGGTGAGCAGTGGGTTGATCAAGGTTCCCCGGTGTGTTGCAGGTTTGCTTCCCTGCCCAAAAGATGTCCTACTCCAGCCAGCAGCTCAGATCCCGCTGCTTCCCACCCTGCGAGGTGACCTGCCCGCGGCCGTACGCCAACGCCTGGAACGAGCCCTGTGTCACCTCCTGCGGGGACTCCCGCACCGTAGTGTATCCACCGCCCGTGCAGTGGGTTGATCAAGGTTCCCCGGTGTGTTGCAGGTTTGCTTCCCTGCCCAAAAGATGTCCTACTCCAGCCAGCAGCTCAGCTCCCGCTGCTTCCCACCCTGCGAGGTGACCTGCCCGCGGCCGTACGCCAACGCCTGGAACGAGCCCTGTGTCACCTCCTGCGGGGACTCCCGCACCGTAGTGTATCCACCGCCCGTGGTCATCACCTTCCCAGGCCCCATCCTCAGCTCCTGCCCTCAGGAGAGCTTCGTGGGCAGCTCGACCCCTCTAGGGGTTGGCCGCCCCAGTGGCCTGCAAGGTTCTCTTGTCTATGGGGGCTTCTTCTCCTCCTCCTCTTCTTCCTCCAGCCAGGGGTGGAGCCAACGCTATGGGGGCTGTGGGCCATGCTAATCATGGCAGAAGGTGTGGACGGCTGGAGAACTGACAGCAAGACCTGGACGTGCAACTGAGCTGTGGAGATCTCCAAAGCCTTGGACACCCAAGACTCCCAGCTAATCCTCTGGCACTTGCTGGTGCTGCTCAGCACCCTTGCAAAGCATTCTTCTACTTGTCCTTCTGATGCTTTTATTGCTTGTGATGTTGTTGCTGTAAACCTGCATTAGTTTCTCCAAATGTGTGTTTTCCATTCTGACAGTACTGGTGAGAAATTGGTCTTTTTAGCCTCTCTTGTCAATGCATGTTCCAGTTTTCTGATTTGATGTTGGACCTAGAAAATGTAACAAAATTTCTGCTAGGGGAGTTGCTGTGCTCTCTGATGTGTTAGGCTTTTGTTCTCAACAAAGCCTTCCTGCACGCTGCAAAACAGAACTTGGTTGGCAAAATTAGATTTGCCGTAGGGAAGAAAACACCTTGTGTAAAACGTTCATTCCTTGCTGACAAATTGCTCGTAATCAGGTCTGAGAAACTGGAAACAGCCCTTCATTTTATTTGTTTGTGTTTGTTATTAGTGTAAATGCCGTTTCTTGTTCCAAATAAAAGTCATGCTGCATCCCAATACTGGCATTCTCCTTTTGTTTCATTCCAGACTTCCTTCACGCTTCTCTCCCTTCTATCCCTTTGTTAGCTGCTAATTACAAGTGCACCTACATGCACAGGGCTAGAATACGTCCCGTGCAGTGCATAATTCCTCCTTCCCAGCAGCTGAAACCAGAATCATTGTCTTACATAGTTAATATCATCAGAAAAATGCCTTTACCTTTATGGTCCCAGTTAGGGACCAGAGTTTTAGTGTGTCCACATAAAGAGCAGTAATTTGATCTTGATGCCATACCGAGGCATATTTCGGGCTTGAAGTCATACCGAGGCATAAATATTATTTTTTAAGGACTTAAAAATACTGTTGTACAAACAGAAAGTGCTACTCAACCCCCCCTTTCCCATTGAATTCTCCTTCTCTCAGGTGGCTCATCCGCTCGTGTACTGGTTTTGGACTCCTCCTAGGGTGTAGTAGCCGTGTCAGTACAACCTGGGTGTGCTATGTTATCAGATGAGACAAATTCCACGCACACTGTATGAGATGCCCTCTTGGATGGATGACTCCAAAACCATCCACCGTGGACCTGGAAGAATTGCACCAGAATACCTGGGCATCCCTAGCAGAGTTTGGATTTCAATTATAAACTGAAAAAGATGGTGTTCCTTAATTGTGATGTTCATCAGGCCAAGCCAGGAAGGGTTTTTAGTCACACTCATAAGAAATAGTCCAAAATCAACTCATGGGAGTTTTTGCAGATGCATTTGAGTGTCTTTTTTTTTAATGGTTTTACAATAGAATTATGTGTTTGACATAGATAAAAAATATTCTATGTTAATTTAGTAAATGGATTTGACGATTTTTCGCATACAATGTGTCCATGCGTGCTGTAGCGGTTTGGGGTGTCAGCAGTATTGATGCTCATAGGTAGCTCCCTTTGCCTTTTCAGGAGGGCAGGATGGTTAGAAGAGGGGTGCATCTCCAAGAATTACGTGATTCATCCAGAGTATCTGTAGGTACGTGTCATCAGTGTCATCACCTCCTTTCAGACAAAGTGAAACCAGGTGTGGCAGGAGGAAAAAGACCACGTAGGTTGTTTCCCCTCAACAGCTTCTTCCCTTTGTTTTTATTCCTGTTTATGTGAATTTTCTACTGTAAAGTATCAGTAACTTTAAAAGGTGTCTCTGCAGGCATCGCTGGGAACCAACACCAAGGTGGCCCCAGAAAAGAGGCTTCCTCAGACTTCTTGTATGGGTCACGTGTACAATGTGACACTGCAGTGTTGGCAACAGTTACCAAACACCGATGGACAAAGTGGAATAAAACGAACACTTTAGAGCAAAAGTCTCAAGGTTGCTCAAAACCAGTCATCCAACCTGAAATTCCCTAGAAGGGGGCCTTTAGAAATTCCCTAGAAGGTAGACTTTAGACTCATCTTCTTGAGGTTAAAAAAGCTTTCACAAATTCCATCAACGGGTAAACTCTACTGAAAAAGAGTTTTATCAGTAAATAACTGGAGAACTGAGGACAAGTGCTGGATCTGAGGAAGAAATCTGCTGAAGTAAGCATCTAATCTTCTACATCAGCTGAAACTGCACTTTCATATTCCAGCCCAAGGTTTTCCTAGGGTGATGCATGGCTTCTCTCCCTGACCTGTTTCAACCCAAACCATGAATCGTTCATTACTGAGAAGCCCTGAGGTCTTCACTAACGATCCCCTGAAGTCCTTAACAATGAAAGCTCTAATGAAGCTCTCATTAGCTGAGGCTCCTGTCCTCTATGCCATGGCTGGAGAACAGCAGCTCACTGCTTATAGGCTACTCCACCTAAAGCTTAAAGTGGGACATGTGCTTTGTGTCTCCTGGCCAGGAGGATGAGAACAAACCCTTCTCATTTCCAGACCCATACCTCAGTAGGAAGGTGTCTCTGGAGTTCTGATGTGCCTCATATCAGAGTCATAGGTATTAATGTGCGTGGGTATGATGGGATAAATTGCACAATGTCCCCTTACAGGAGCATGACTTGGAGAAGCAGGGTAGCATCTCAAGCATGTCAGCATATTGTGTTTATGGCTAAACTTTTGAGCAATCTTTGCTCCATGAGGCAATCAGAGAAGTAGGAAAAAGCAATAAAAGAAAAAAAAAAAGAGTTACTCTGCCAGAGTAATGGTGTGAACACAATAGTAATCACCATCACTAAGCAAAAATAATTGCTTTATCTGGGGCAGTTACAGGTGGAGTGAATTTTTGTTTGATAATGCATTAGGACATCATAGATGAGGAATGTTTCACATCCTCCTGATTGCCTAAGAAAAGGTATAAAAGCGCTCCCAGGGCCAGGCTGCTCTAACCATTTCTCCTGACTTGCTCTTTGCTGCGAAGAGGTAAGTCTGAGCTGACACTATTGCTATTACAGTATTGCTGTAAAACTGCAGAAAATTACCCAAAGTGAAACTGTGATTCTTAGAAATGTGTGAGAGGTTTGAAGCTTGCTATCAGAAAGAGCTGTCTCCTACTTATTCAGTGGCAGGCTGTAAATGGGCAGGAGTTTTCAGGGCAAGCTTATTTATAGTGAGATCTAGCAAATTCCTGTTTCTATCGTGCCTTTATGAATCTGCCTTATTTTGTCCATGTGGATTTGTAATTGTGACTACCAAGAAAAGTTGACTTGGCCTGAGCTAGGATATCACCACTAGCAAGAATATTTCATCCTGTTCTTCACAAATATATATGGATTACTTTCAAGCCTGTCATGCATTACATTGTGTACTTGTTACGAGCAGGACTTTCCTCCTTTCTCTTTATTCCCAGCCTTTAATTTTATAGGTTTTAGCAAGGCAGGACAGAGATCAAGAGGAGCTACAAAATGTTTTTATGAGTGATCAAATGACGTTGTGGTTAAAGGAGAGGTCTTCACAAAATGATGTGCAGTCCCTAGTTCTGCCACCTCAGTTATTCTTAGCAGGACATCTTTAACTGGACCACATTCACAGCAGTTGTAGGTATCCTGGAAACCTCCCCAGCAGTGCATTCCCACCCAAATGTGGGATATTCTGCCTTTGTGAGCTTGTCAGGGATGTGGCTGCTGCTTGTTTTATCTTTCTACTGGATGTCCAGGGGAATTCTAGTGCCAGCCGTAGCATCAAACAACTCTGACAGGTGCATTCACTTTTCAGCCTCACTTACCTCTTCCTTAAAGCTGAACTAACAATAACTTGCCTCATACAGCTGTAATTAATGATTACAAGTGGTTCAGACCAGCACAGGGTGCTGCTGTATAAGCACTAGGCAGTGCTTCTGGTTTTTTTTCTGTGGTTATTTATAAAAGAAATGGTGAAACATCAACATTGAGTCAGATTCAAAAGGGAATGAGGGGAAGGAGAAATGGTAAAGGATAGGGGGACAACTCACATTGAAGTACACAATTTCTTTGGTTGTTAATAATGCTTAGAAGTACCAAATTGGCTCCATAATCAGGAGTCAAAAGAAACAGAGACTGGTGCAGGGCAGGGGAGGAAGACATGAGAAAATGAGAAAAGGAACATGGCTGCTGAGACAAAACATAAGTCTTCAACCCTTCATTCTGCTCTTCTTGCTATGTTTTACTCTTTCACTTCAAAGCACAACCTCGGTTCTATCAGTAGCTGAGCTTTCAGCCTTGTTTTGCCTCCGGGTTGTCTGTTCCAGGTTTCTCTCCATCCCTAGAAGATGTCTTCCTACAGACAGATGCTCAGCTCCCGCTGCCTCACACCCTGCGAGGTGACCTGCCCGCAGCCAATCGCCAACGCCTGGAACCAGCCCTGCGTCACATCCTGTGGCGATTCGAGAGCTGTGATCTACCCACCACCCGTGGTCATGACCTTCCCAGGACCCATTCTCAGCTCCTGCCCTCAGGAGAGCGAGGCAGCTCAGCACCATCCAACATTGGGAGCTTGTTTGGATCCATGAGCTCTCTGGGTCCCAGCAGCTCCTACAGCTCTAGGAGCTTGTACAATTACGGGAAGTCATATTCTTCCTACGGATCGTGTGGTTACGGGTTTGGGAGCTGCAGACCGTGTTAAATGTGCAATGAATGAGCAGAAACCACCCACCAGAGAAGAAGTGTTGCCTCCCCAAACCATTACCGGCATTGCTGTCCTGGAGCATGAACTCTTGACAAAATCACACTTACATGTCGTTCTCAAGCTTACGATTTAATTTACTTTTCTGACTATTCCTTCCAGTGGTTCCTGATAGTAATGACTTTGAATTAGTCAAACCAATGATCTTTGGCTGGTTGAAAGCGGGATGAGATTGTGTAAATCTTCCCATGCCATGGAGAAGAACGAGTAATGTATGAGGAATGCCTAGCCCTGGAGCAATTCTTTGCTTGCAGCCTATAATGAGAGCCTGGCAATATTTCCCCTGTGTTTTTCATTCAGTAAAATCTTTAACTTCTTGCTTTCTCATTAAATTATTATGCATCAAAATTCTGAGCTTTCTTGTTCTTTTTTTTGTTGACTCTTTTTGGTTTATATGCCATTTGGAGTGAGCACCAATCCCTTTGTTTTCCTTCAACACCTAAAGTTGGAAGGTGACCAGGTCCTTTAAGCAGTCACAAACATAATGACTGTCTTCTGCACAAAAGTAATTTCATGCTGGATAAACATGTTTTGTAACTTTACAATTAACTTTGAGATTTCCTCCAGGTGTGGTTACCATGTGTGTTTGCTACATGCTAACAAAGAAAGTTAAACACACGAGTAACTTTGAAGATCTTCCTTGTGTCTCGCTACTTGCCCGAGGCTGCAATTTAATTACGGCCCCGTGCATTGGTTTTACGATGTTTTTTTGTTGTTTAAAAATAACGCATAATGGTCTGCGGGTAGAACTTTCCTTTGAATAGCCAACAGGAATTTTTAACTGAATGGCAAATCTTGGCCAAAATTCTTTCAACTTTCCCATGAATACCTCTAAATTCTTGGCAAGCCCAGTTAAAACAAATGAAAGAGTAATTCTTAAGTCTTCCCTGCAAGAAGGCCAAATAATATTTTCCACCTTGGGAAGTTTACACCTGAATTTCAGGCTGCTCACAGTTGACTGTAGACAAGGGGCATGTTCAGTTTTTCTTTTTGTTCAACTGCAACATGGTTCCAGCTTTCTCAGTGTGTCCTGTAGAGCTGTTTTTTCTAGTGATGCAATTTGTATACAATTAATGCAGCTGGTAAGAGACATTCACCCTGCCCTATTCTTGCCATGCCAACTAGGACTCTGATGGCCCAGAGGTTGTTCTTAGGAATGCCAGCAGTGCCCTGACAAACTTCACCATACTTAAGCCAGCTAATTCCAGGCAAACCCCAGTGTCTCACTGCAGAAATTTGTTTGAATAGGATCAAGTATGTGGAAACAACTTCAAAGGCTTTGGAGGTGTGACTACGCTTGTAAAACTAGCCGAAAAGAAATGAGGCTACAATGAGGCAGCCAGGCAACACCTCTTTCTTGTTATGATGTGTCTGAAGGTTTTTTCCTTGTTTTCCTGTTTCCTCTGTCTCCAGTGCAGTCACTACGAGCTTGGTGCAGGTATCTAAAGGACTAAATCACGAAAATCACATATTTTTCAAGACATTGCCGTGATGTTGATCACTTTTGAAGCCCTCAAGATTTTTGTTTTCATCCTACACAGAGCAGTAGAAATGCATTGATCCCCTTCTCAGCTTCTCTTGGTGCCCCTCTGCAGCGGACGGGTGTAGTCATACATCCTTCCATGTGGGTGCTGTCGG